TTTCAATAGTTTAAAAGATATAAAGAAAAGAAATTAAATATGTGAAGCGTGCTATTCAAGTGAAACGGAGTGTATATACACACATGTGTGTATAATATATAATTATATATAAATTATATTGAAAAAATTAAATATTAATATAAAATGTAATATATATATAAAACAAAATAATATAAATGTATATATATGAATATAATAAATGCAAAAAACAAAAAAAAATTAGATGATGATAATTAAGTAATAATAATAATTATTCTGAAATAATTATTCTGAACGTTTTTATATGAATATTTCATTTGAGTAAAAAAAAACTTAATATATTGGAAAATTGTATTAAGAAATCTAAATAAATTTATGAAAAATGAACATTAAAACTTTGTAAGATGTACGATATATGCCTGAAGACTTTAATTTCTTTTCTTAAATATATGTATATATAGCATATATGTATATATTAGATTAATACTTTTTTATTGAAATTTTCGTAGATCCATTATTGATTTCAACGGTATAGTTTGACTTTAATAGATTTTAACTCGATTCTTGTTAAACAAATCAGTACATTTCCCAGTACTTTTCCATTTGCTTACTCTATGTAAATGTCCTCAATGGGATAAGCTGTTTCTATGAACTTCTGATAAAAACGTTGAAATGCACGTCTAACAAAATAAAACATAATATTAATTTTTATTTCAAATTAAATCGGAATTATAGTATATACCCCACAGCTTCTGCGACCGGTCTTGTCGATTCAGACCCCTTGAAGACATGACAAGCAAAACGCTGCACAGTTGGATGCTTTGTTATGAAGCCAATAAAGCGATGATCACGGGGATGAAATGCACAAAATGATACATTTTTCAATGAATAGAAATAATCTATGCAGGGTTTCTTTTCCTTTTTATTCTATAATTGAAATAATTTAAATCAAAAAAGGACAACAATAATAACAACAATTATAGCATGACAACTTACATTCGGTCCAGAACGATCCACCATGCGTAGACCTTGATCAGATACTTCTAAAATGCATACTTGACCTGATGGTGAGTTACCATATTCACCTACAATTTTACGCACTGCTTGACAAACCACACCGGTACCTATAAAAACAATATTAATTTAAAGATATATATTGAAAAGAAATTCGTATTATACGAGTAATAATAGATGAAATTTTTTTTGATAACACCACATAACTATATATGAGCACATATGCATACTTGTATAAGTGCTGTCATCAAATTTTACCTTTATGAGCCAATGTCTCTACTGAACCCAAATAACCCAGCAGATAACGTTCTTTTTTAACTTGTTGCACAGTTGGATCGAACTCATTGTAATCAAGATCAACAGCATACGCCGAGGGAAATATACCCTGTCTACCGGTACGTAAGTTAACACCTTCACACCATAAATCATCGGCTTCCTTTTGCACGTATATAGCATCCCCTATTTCAATTTCGATTTCATCATGATGACGTGGTATGAATTTGTGCAGACCACGATGTGTAGCTTCCAACATCTCCAGCTGTGCAAAGGGTATGCCACCGAAGGGTTGTGAAAATGGTGACTGAGAAACGGGGGATGTTATTTGTGGTGACATACTTTTAAAATCATTAGGGGAATGTGCAGTGCTATGACCACTGTCAACATCACCTAAACTCTGTAAACGTTCTGAGTCAGGACTTGAGTCCTCATCAAGCAAATAGCCGCATTTGAGTGTTAGAAACGAACGTTGATTTTGTCTTAGACCGGTGTTATTAAGACCATTACCCAAAATGAAGTTATCGTTTAGACTGCGTCCGCGTGTCATCTCATCTGCTAGTGTGCTTTGTCCGTAACCACTACCTAAAAGATGTAGAATGGAAGCTGCAACGAATGCATGAATAAAATTTATTTCACTACATTTAACTACGTACAACAATCCAATTGTGGCTTGGCAAAAATAAAAAGAAACTTTGTGGATTTTGATGAAAACTGAAAAAATAAAATTCTATCTAATATCCATGCAATCAGAATGTTCAAGTCAGTTCTATCTAATAATGGATTAGTTGATATCTTGTATATAACCATCATTGACATTAGGTAGATCAACATTTTGGTCAAACTTAATAAAAAAATTAGGATCTCAGAGAGTCAAATAAATGGAAAGAAGTAAATATATCCTTAACTGGACCATTTAAGTTTATGACGTGTTAGAGTTAATAAAGTGTATAGCTACGTCAAAGCGCAAATATAAATATTTTTAATATAGCTTCGTTTTCAAAAAATTTGATTGATTTTATTTGGACTCGAAGTTCAAATTCTTTTATAATCCTGTTTTAATCATGAAGAAAAAAAATACATACGTAGTTTTGGACTTGTTCCAGTTTCAATACTCTTCACACATATAGTTTTGTTGCAAATCAATTATATTTTACTTGATTACTATATATTTTTCTATAATTAAAAATGTTTTTTTTTGCCATGTCTATAATATTATTTATATCTGTCACCCATATGTTCGATATTTCTATTTGTACTTAGTACTTAGAGAATGTCTCGAACACAACCTTGAACCGATTAGTTCAAAATCTGACAGCTCAGTTTGTATAAACACAAACAACACTTCTAGCTATAGAAGTGTAGATAGACAGACAGTTTAATAGGCAGAAAGATAGACTGGCAGAGATGAACAGATGGAGAGAAGTAGAATTCCCTCTTGTATGTTATATAAGATGAAGCAATGAACGTTGATAAACACTTAAGGGAGTGATTTCCGTAAGCTGAAAATAAAATTAGCGCTTAAGCTGTGACCACGTCTCACCTCATCTACTCCCTGAACCTAGCTTATATATATAGGTAAGTATATATAAAAAAGAATAATACGAATGTAACACTACAAGCACCGAATAGTTCGATAATAAATAGTAGCTATAATAATATACGAGTATTGGTTAAATATTTTTAAAATTCCAAAGATCGTCGCTATGAATTGAAAACAAATCAATAAATCTTATAGTATTTCCATGACTGGATAAAACTGGAATAAATATAAATGTAGTTGCTTGAAATATTTCTACAGGATTTCTACTCGTTCACGTACACTACCACTATTTCTAAAATCACGATTTGGTTTTGAAAATTTTACAAAGGGCTTGAAAATTATTTACAATAAACAAATACAATACAACAACAATGCTACAAATGACATATTTATACAATGAATAAAGATGGATGTTCCTGATTTCAACACCAAACTTACATTTCTTGTTCTTTGGTATCTCCGGTAATTTTCGTCTCCTTCTCTGTTGCTGTTGTGCAGCAGCTGTGTTTGGTGACAATAACTGTTGGGTCTCCAATGGATTGTTATTAGCACCAATACCACCAATCGCATCCTGATGACTTAATGGATGATGACGATGTGAGTTAAATGAGTCATTTGTATCCAATGAACCATCAGAAGATAATGAAACAACCTTTAAGCCATCGCCGATTTCATCATCTTCAACGTGACGTTGTATTTTGGATTCGCAAGTAACAGCATCTTCCTGATCGGAAGCATCGCTTTTCGATGAAGGAGAATCCTCAAGTTCGTCATTCGGTATGAGTCTAAAAATAATAAAAACATAACAGATAGTTTAATTCCATTAATCACTTTCATCAACTTCAAGAAGAACTTCAAGTCAAGAACAATTTTTGATTGCATTGATTTTTCCCATCCGCATACAACGTACAGTTTTAATGGTTATTTTGGCCTCATTTGTTTGGTATTTTCGATTTTATTTTCGAAATATTTCAGATTTATTTACTTACGAGTAGAAGTTTTGTGGATTGTTTTTCTTATTGCCCGCTGAACTATTGTTCGTTATGAGATGTGGCTCATATAGTGGGCGATAGAATTCTTCAAATTCACTATCAGCCATACTGTGTGACGGGCTTATTAAGCCCCGTAGGCTTGTTCACGTGGAACTTTACAATTAATTTTCACTCCGTCGTTCACTTTTTTGCTTACACTATTTTAATAGATTAATTCAAGTCTAATTAAGATAATTAATTTTAGCAAAAATCAAATCAAATGTCGAATGACTTCTTTTCTTCTTTTATGCCAAAATCAATAATTTCCTTTTCTGCTCGGATTACACTACACTTAGCTTCAGATACGTAATGTTCATGGTTGTGAGTGCCTTGGAACTGACTTTGACAAGGGATGAACCAGCAGGGAAATTTAGCTGTCAACTCTTTATTTTGATTATGCGTAATGCAGAGTAACTGTTTATGTTTACAACACGTTTGGCTCCCACTTGTGCTCGTATAATGTGGAGGGTTAAATCTGGAAACAGGATGTCATATGGTCGTCATGCGCACTAAACCAGTTTGGTTTTGTTTTCACTGACAATGGAACAATGGGACTAATCGGTGCATATATTTAAATAAACTGAAAAATTAAAAAATATTTTTAAATAAAATATTTGTGACCACTCTCACTTTCATATCAGTATATTGATATATCATTATATTAAAATTTTGACAAAATTGTTTCGTTTCGCCGTTTGAAAAATTTACATTTATACTAACCTCAGAACTCTGAATTTATTTTTATTTAGACCCCCTAGTAACTCACTAAATCCACTTTTTTTAGAATTTAGTGTGATTAAACATAACACTCAGACCGTTAATGTCCATTGTATTACTCGTTGTAATCTTATTCCGGTAAGTTACAAATTTTCGGATCTTTTTTAAGAAGTGAAGGATATATGAGATTAGAAACTAATATTTAAGTTACTTACGGTACACATTCGACTACTTAAAGTGTCAGTATTGACAGAACAATTGAATTATAAGAAAAGCTCCATTATGTCATCGTTCTCTCAACAAAGTGGACATTTTTAGTTCGGTTCATGCAAATTCGTCCGCAACCGCATTACTGGATATGCTAAACTGAAGGGGAACCTATTCAACAGTTAAATCGTTGTGTCTACCGACTCAATATAAACATATACATTTGCATTTTGGTGAGATAATTGCGTAGATCAGATTCTCAGTCATATTTGCATGTATTCTATTTTATATATAATTTTAATTTTTTACAATTTGATCTACAGTCTTTCTCCGAGAATCAGTGCACCGGAGTACCCATTGTATTTTGGAAAAAAATTGTTTTTCAATATATTATTTGGATCGTGCCATCAATAAACATTCATGGAACATTTTACAGTGCTGAATCTTTTGGAGATAATTTTGGATTTTTATAGCTTGCGTCATAATCGAGTTAAAAGTAAATATCTTACACATCCATATCTCCAAATTCATTCGATTGGGTATGAATTTAATACATAATTACTATTTTTTAGTGGGTTTTTAGAATTTGAACGTGTTGAGTGGATGTTAAACGATTTATATTGTAAAACGGCAAACCATTGGTTAATCATTTGTCTTGGATAACAGTATGCTTTAATACACGTCACTAAAATAGTGCTGTGAAATGAAGATACCGATATGTATAACCCAACCCTTTGTATAGAATAAAAGTATCGATTCCAGATATAGATTTAGAGAGTTCATTAGAGGTTGATAAAGTGATCATTTTTTAGCATTATTGATTAAATGATATTTTAGAAACATAATTACCCTGATAGTCATTTGTGACAGTTTGATCTATATTGTTAAACCGAAAATATTGTTCTTGCTCTCATCAGATCAGGGCATGAGCAGAGTATGTACAGTAAGATTTGACTGTTAGAGGTATGGATCTGTGTTAATCCTGTTTTGTTCTGTAGATAAATTTTTTCATCTTAAGTCAGTAGCTTTCATAGTTTTGTGATCTAAAATATAGATTTTTGATTAAATAAATTTTATAGTATTTAATATATAAGCATTCTGTAATCCTGTCCGGTGGTTAAATTTTGTTATCTTAAGTTTGGAAGAATCAATCGTTCGTTAGTGATACTAGTTGAGAGAGAAACTCCGATTTTTCAATTGTTGCAAGTCGATAACAATTGCACTAATCGCTTTACAATATAAAAATAGAAACAATTTATTTAATAAAAAATATAAGTTGAGAAAACTGAATAATAATATATTCTATTTTTAATGGTTACTTTAATATTAAATGTTTTTTTTTATATTGTATATTTATAAATATAAATCATAAAATTATAATTTATAATATATAGTTATTTTTTTTTATTTTCTTAGTTTTTATTATTAAAAATAAATTCATATATGTTTATTAATAATAATAAAATCAATAATCTAATTTGGTTTTTTTTTTATTTATATAAAAAGTGTGTTAATTTATTGACTACACACAATTATTAATATATTCTAAATATATCTAATTAATTAAATAATAATATATCTTAAATATATTATCAGAACAATTTACAGAGTTTCTTGTGTGTCAATATGTTCATTAGGATAGATTTGCTTATTGTATCATTCAAATTAGATTTTTCTCAATGATATAATTTTTTATGAAGTTCTTATTGGCTTACAAGTCCCAAGTTTCTATCTCCCCTCCCCTCAAGGCTCAACGCTAATTTAATTACCTCAATAGATTTTAAGGCTAAATCAAATGAACCATTGAAAAAGTTAAGTTGCTCGTGTCTTAACGTTTCGTGTTTTTGTTAATGTACCAAATGTACCAGATAAACTGCAAGTGAATCTATCTGTCTATCTTCGTATTTCCGCATGCGGGTTGAAGTGTCATTACTCATGTCGAATGCTTGAACTGCATCTATTTAAGGCATAACCAAAGCAAATCAAAGACACCCTCAATGAGACGACTTCCCTGAATGTATGTTCGACTCAACAACAAGTGGTAAGTTAGGAAGAGCGTCAGAAAATAAATCCTCTGGAGTGCCAACATAAACGGTTTGTTGTGTAAATAAACCTTTTATACTCGCACACAATCACTTAAATTGCCTGGAAAGAAAAGAATTAAAAATAACATAAAAGAAATAAATTGTTACAAAAACTAAGTTGGCGATGTTACCAAAACATGGGGAAGATGGTTGAGTAGATGGACTTGGGTGTGTGTTTTGTACCACAAACTGAAGGTAGGTTGATTTGTAATTCATACAGTTACCATTCGTACCATTCGTGCTGGAATAAACTATGCTCACCCACTCCACAATTCATTCTTTCTTGTACTTCTCTTATCGCCGGCAGTTGATGTCGTATCTGCCCATTCTTTCAAATCTCACACGCATATTTTAATAGTAAGTAGCATTTTTCTTAATTCTACTTCACTACTACTTGACATTGATTTCCCAGTTCCTCACACTGAAGAGAGCTTTGCAGCAGGCAAAGCCTTGACTTTTCCTTTCCTTTCTGCATCCTTTAAGTGAGTTTAAGATAAACAAATATTGGCAATAAGAGTGGCCGCAATAAAAAAGCGTTTCGTCTACAAGTTTCATTGACAAATTGACAATATTTAAAGAAAATCTCAATATTCACTTTTACCGAAGTGGGTGAAGTACTATAAAAGGTTACAATATATTTTAAGTTAAGACTTTCGAAGTTTGAATTTAAAATACATTGTGACTTGTTGGAAAGATAAGAAAGTGCCATAATTATATTTATAAAACACATACTTACTATTAGTAAAGTAGACAGTGGAGTTTTCTCGAAGGGACGAAATAAATCTATATATTATAAACTTCCTGATCACTGTAGGGTTTTTCAGGAGGATTTGTGTTCACTATTACAGGAACTATAGCTTCTCTAAAATTGGATAATGTATTTAATAGGAATATAAACAAACTATTAAACAGTTAAGCTGTTTAAAAATTTCTACGTTTAGTCCAATTTATGAGTCGTTGACGGAGTACAACACTTTTCTATTGTGTGTGTCGGGTCATAGGTACACTTTCAGCACTTGAAAGGCAGACTGATTAGACAGAAGAAGTGCTTTAGGTATTCATTCGGAACATCTTAAAAATCTGTGTATAAGGTCAGAATCATGCCAGCAGTCTCAACGATAATCAGATATGCAAGTTTGATCCAATTTATGTAATGAACAATCTAGCAACCTCATTGAGATGCCCCACAAAGATATTAGCCTTATAGTGGGTTTGAGCCAGAATAAAATAACGGTCACTCGCATTCCCCTACATAATAGATTTGACGATCAGAAAGGATGTGATATACCTATAAAATATAATGTCGGTACTTAGCTTACAGGTCCTGAACGTTTTACTTTAAATCCACTTGTCAGAGAGCATTAATAATTAAACAATTAAATATAATTATTAACGAAGATCCACTCTTTGTTACAGTGTTCTTCTACAGCGACTTATAAAGGAAAAAGATTTTACTCCTGCACAAATTCAACGTTGTTGTGAAGTCTTGAAAGCGATTATTAGCAGTATTTTTTCCAGGAAAAATATAACAAATGACATTTGCACCTTTGGTGGAAGAACCAGGCAACAAATGATATAAAAGTATTCCGTACTACCAAGTCACGACAATTGGTTGAGGTTGCTTAATGCGGTCAAGCATGGTATATGACTGAAGTTGTTACCTAAGTAAGAAAATTAGTTGATCAATTTTAAATATATAATAATTTTCTATTAATATATATCCCATGTGTTAGTGTTTTCCAAACAAGTTTTTTATAATTTATAATAAATATAAGGATTTAATTATGAGTGCTTATTTATTTATGGATTGGTTCCATTAGGATCATGTGGCAAAACAATAGACTTAACTTACAGAAGCGAGTTAGTTTTCAAATATTGGATGCTCATGACAATACGTATCTACCTACCTTCACAGAGCAGACATCCTGTATATCTTCATTTTCCTCGGTAGTACAATTCCGTATCATCTTTATTTGGTTCAAATAATATCTTTTTATTAGCCTTAGATTTTTGGGGGTCCCATTTTTTGACACACTCAGCGATATCTCCAGCATTAGCATTGACTAGACTCTCGTCTTTATAAATGCTTCTGGCTGGTTCCAGTTCGACATTCTTTTACCCATTATTACGAGGAATTGTATACTCAAAACTATAATTCCATTTATTTACTAACTATTTTATCTAAATCTTATAATAATATTATTCTCTTGTCTAAAACAAAATTAATTGAAATTGGGACCATAAGTAAAATAATAACGACACTATGAGTTAAAGTAATATACGAAATTAACCTTCTAATAGATTATAATAGAATTAATAGGTTTAAC